ACTCCTCACAACCCAGAGGAGATGAGAAGAGGCCGTTGCCCCCAGCACCAGCAGCTCTCAGCGTGGTGTTTAATAATTCATCCCCTCAGTCTGGCACACATAAATGGATGTCACCTGTTCTCTCTCCTCTGTCTCCAAGGCTCCTTAGCCCTCAGCAGCATCACAGGATCCTCCGACTCCCTCCGCTGCCTGGTGAGAGGGAAGCTGCTTTTAATGACTCTCCTTGTAGAAAAAGCAGTGTCTTCTCTGGGTCTCCCTCTGCTGACACCTTGGAGCCACCATCCTCTGCGAAGGTCACGGAGACCAAACGAACCAGCCCGGCCTCCCTCAGAGCAGGCCAACCTCGGTTGGTGCCTGGGGAAACTTTGGAAAAGAGCTTGGAGCCAGGGAAGACCACAGCTTGGCCCCAGCACCAGTCATCTCCAGGTTAGTTCCTGTTTAAGATGCTTTAAATCTGTTCCTGGGAGATTCAAGAACTATCAATCTGCTTGTGCTATTCAGAGACTGGCTAGTTAATGATGGACCAAAATTCCCAGGCCTGTTAGTTCACCTTGTAGCAAGAAAACTGGGAGTGGTACGGGGAGGGCATGGAGATGGTGAGGTTGATGTTGGCTGAGTGGCTCAGAGATGTAGTTGCTTCTAGAAATAATACTTTGCAAATATCTTTTCTTTTTTTTTTTTGAAACACTCTGCTGCTGACCTCCACTGTTACTTAACACAGGGACTCTCAAAAGAAACAGGACCAGGCAGAGAGGATTAGTAACTGGTTCCTGCCTTTGAAGCCAGCACTGGGTAATTGGCCCCTTGAGCTAAATTCTGCTGTTCATGCTGCTCGAGTCATTCTAGGGATTCTCTAAACAGCAATGCAAAAGCACGCTGTGTCTTCGCTCATCTGTCCGCTGTAGTCAGAGGTTTTTGGTTTTTTTAGTAATTGCCTTTATAAGTGCCATTATTTTATGACAAAAACATTTTTTATGAGAAAAGGGATGAATTCAGTCTAACTTGAAAAAACTTGGTTCGGATTTTCTTTTTTCATTCTTTTTTTAAATTCCCCAAACAAGCACGAAGTAACTTTGTTCTGAAGTTATGTTTTATTTGTGGGTTACTACTGTTACTGGTATAACATCATTTCTTATGCAAAAGGTGCTAAAGAGATCATCTGACTTACATGCTTAATGTGACTTAAAATTTCACATGAAAATAATTTTGTGGGTTCAATAAGACTAAAAAAGACAGTGTGTAAGAAGTGTCACTCCTGTATTCATTACATTGTCCAAGCCAGTGTGGCCATATGCTCTTACCATTGTATAGGTAATGTGTTCTTTTTCAGCAGTCCTTTAACAGCATATGGTCAATGCTTTGTCTAGGGAATATCTCATAATATTATACACGGTCTCTTAAAGGTTAAAGGGAACATCATGAGCAATTTTTGAGATAAAAATATCTCTTGAAGGAAGAGGAGTTTCTTTGTGTTCATTTTGAACTTGTGACATTTTATAAATTTCTCTAAATCATTGATCCAGGGAGTGGTTCTTTAAAAATGTGGTAAATGCTTTTCATCTTGTTTCTGCAATGCACTGATGTTAGTTTGGTAAGACTTGTTACTTTTATAACCAATCTGCCTCACCAGGAAATTTGTAGGATTGCAGATTTTATATCATGTATCAGAACCCTAGTGATGAAAATTCTTTCTCCTTATGGATGCAGAAGACTTGGAAATACTTAGCAAGGAAGCTCTCTGAAATTATTAGGTAAGAGACTTCTGGAGACATGGTGTGGAATAGCTGCCTTAATTGCAAAGATTCTTTTTTAGAAATCACACCAAATTCTAGGATTGTAAATGCTCTTCATCCAGAAACTGTG